AAGGTAAGGATTCTAGCTAAGTATAATTCAAAAAATCTTTGTACCTTTGAACATAGCAATCAATACCCAATTCCAAAGTGATTTCAAGAGTAGGAGAATTTCCCTCCTCTCTTTCACCTTCTTTCTCATTCTTGCTGTCATTGTTCATCTTTCATTTTTGTAGAGAACCAAAGCCATCATGAGGGTGACATCTTGACTTGCACCTGAATTAGATTTAAGTGAGGCAGAGCTGTGCCAAGTCATCAGCCTCACTCTCTCCTCATTCTTCCTTAGCTCCTGTATTTCCTTTTCTCAAAGCATCTTCAGTATCAGAGAATGGTGGAAAGAGTGCCAAGTTTGGAGTTAGACCACTAGGACTTGAATCTTGGCTTTGCTACTCATTCTTTGTGTGACCTTGGGCAGGTCACCTAACTAAATGTGGGGATGGGTGCTGGGAAAGTATGGAGCATGGTATAAGGCCAATGGGAGGAAGGGTATAGGTGGCATAGAGGGCAGGACAAGGACCTGAGCAGAAGCCTTATTCCTTAGTTCTCCTTCATCTTAGATCCTTCTTTCCAATTTATTGGGCACATATCTTGTCTGTACATAATAGTTTACATGTTGTCTCCTTCATTAGACTGTGAGCTCCTTCAGAGCAGGGACTGATTTTATATTTGTTTGCTTGTTTTTCTTCCCCAGGACTTAGCGCAGAGCCTAGCACAAGAAGGCATTTAATAAATACTAGTTTACTGACTGAGCAGTCAAGCAAACAGCAGGAGAACCTTAGGGAGAGAGAGAGGTGCCCCTCCCAAAATGGGGAAAGGATGAATGCAGCAAATAAGCTAAAAGCTAACTTGGCCAGCTTCATGGTTTTACCCAAAGCAGTTCCCCATGTCACCAACAACTGCCTCATAGGGTATCTGTTGTACCTTAATCCAGTTTCAGGGTAATCTGGAGTTTTGGAAACATCTGGATATTAGACTGCTTTTGTCAGGACTCTGGATAAAGGAGAGGTGGGAGGGACAAAAAACTCTGTGCCCACTGTTAACAGATACCCTAACCCTACTTTAAAACAGAGATACTTAACCTTTTTTATGTCATAGACCCCCCGCCCCTCCAACTTTGCGATCTGGTGAAACCTATCGATGTCTAGTCAGAGTAATTTTTTTAAAAAGACAATTGAAGAAGAGAAGATGATGAAAATAAAAATGTATTCTCTTCAAATCCAACTTCACAAAACTCTCTAAAATCTATCTATAGTCCTTTTGGGGGGTCCACAACCCCCAGGTTAAGATTCACTGTTTTAGGAAATGGACATTTAAAATAACCCAAGTCTATGAAGTAGCAAAGATCGTTATTTTCTGTCTTTTCTCATTTGCTTTTTACTTTTTAAATCATTTATCATTTCCATCACAACAATAATATGCCTCCTACCCATTTTCCCATCTTCTGTGGAAAGTGATTTCATCTCATTACCCACTCAGAATATTGCTTAGAATGACTAAATGCTGAACTACCTAGTGATCAGATATTGAAAGAGTCTCCAGCCCCTAGGTATTTTTATGGCAGCAATCATTTATTTCTCCCTTCATTAGCTTTTTTTTTTCAAAACAAGGTTTTAATGTGTTATTTATTACCCATTAATTTACCATGACTTGCAGAAAATGCATCCATTAATGTTTTTGTCTGTGTTACTCCTAAGGAAAATCTTTTATTTTACCTATTAGGACAGTTTCAGCTATTTACAAGCAATTTTGTAGCTTCAGTAACTCAATGAAATCTCTTTCATTTTGTTTCATAGAAAGTTTGGACTTAAAAATTACTAATAATGTGAATGTGTTCCTCTTTTTTTATCTTTGTCCAGGATGGCTAAGTGGTTTGAAAGAGGTGCAATTTTTGTTTTGTTTTTGCCAAAATATTCTCAAGACAAAGCACATTGTTATTATTTGTTTTCTACTTTAGATTTTATAGTTGCCTCAGTTCTTAATATGCAAAAGTCATGTTAAGATACTCTCTTACCTATATTATCCAATGATTCTCCATCCCTCTTCTCACTTTATTTCTTTTAAAAAATATTTTATTTTCCCCCAATTATACAATGCAATTTAAAATTTTTTTTTGGTGAGGCAATTGGGGTTAAGTGACTTGCCCAGAGTCACACAGCTAGTGAGTGTTATGTGTCTGAGGCTGGATTTGAACTCAGGTCCTCCTGACTCCAGGGCGGGTGCTCTCTTCACTACACCACCTAGATGCCTCTAATTTTTTTTAAATTTTGAGTTCCAAATTCTAATCCTCCCTCCTTGCTCTCCCATCTCCCTGAGATGGTAAGCAATCAGATATAGGTTATACATGTACAGTCATGTAAAACATTTCCATATTAGTCATTTTGTATAAGAAGACTTGAACAACAACAAAATAAAATTAAAGAAACTGAAAAAAAATAGTTTGTTTTGGTCTGTATTTAGACAATATCAGTCCTTTCTCTAGAGGCAGATAGCACGTTTCATCATTAGTCCTTTGGGATTGTCTTGGATCATTGTATTGCTGAGATTAGCCACATCATTCATTGAATATTTTTGTTACCGTGTACAATGTTCTCCTGTTTCTACTCACTTCAGTCTGCATCAGTTCATGTAAGTCTTTACAGGTTTTTCTGAAATCATCCTGCTTGTTATTTCTTATAGCACAATAATATTCCATTACATTCACATACTACAACTTGTTCTGCCATTCTTCAATTGATGGGCATCCCTTTGATTTCCAATTCTTAGCCACCACAAAGAGAGCTGCTATAAATATTTTTGTACAAATAGGTCCTTTCCCTCCTTTTTTTTCATGTCTTTGGGATACAAACCTAGCAGTGGTATTGCTAGATTAAAGAATATGGACAGTTTTAATAAGCCCTTTGGGTATAGTTCCAAATTGCTCTCCAGAATGGTTGGATCGGTTCACAACTCTACCAACAGTCCTCACTTTATTTCCAAAACCAGTTATTAAGCTCTTAAGCCCCTGCCTTCAGGAGGTTATACTCTAGTAACAGGTATACAACATAAACATAAAATTCTATAATTGGTACAAAGGATTATGGAAGCTCAAGGAAATAAAATAGTCTAACTGAAGGGATCAGTATGTGAAAAAAGTGGCATTTGAACTGGACATTAAAGATGGGGCAAAATTCCAACTTTCTAGACCCACAAAGAGTTCAGTATTGTCACATTTCTGTGTATACATGTTGTCTCCTTGAGAGCAAGACTTTTTTTTTATTCCCAGCACCCTGCCTGGCACATAGTAAATGCTTAATAAATATTGTTGATTGACTGTTTTCCCCATCAAAATTATTGTGTGTATTTATTTATCTGTGTATATGGTATATCTTTGAGAGAAGGTTTGATTTTTTTTTTCCGGCGAGGCAGTCGGGGCTAAGTGACTTGCCCAAGGTCACACAGCTAGTAAGTATCAAGTGTCTGAGGCCAAATTTGACCTCAGGTCCTCCTGACTCCAAGGCCAGAGCTTTATCCGCTGTGCCACCTAGCTGCCTGAGCGCCACCTAGCTGCCCTGATAGTTTGATTTTTGCTTTGTATCTACAGCACCTAACACTGTGCCTTGAATAAAATCAGCAATAATCAATGTTTTTTAAACCTAATTTAGATGAACAGAACTGAAAACAAAGAAAAATGGGCAAGATTTCAAAAGACAGAGGATGTGGTTCAGGGGTGAAAAGAATACTTTGGCATAGGAAATGGCATGAACAAAGATATGGAAGACAATGAGCGTGCCTACGAGATGCAGCTGGTGGGCAATGGATAGAGGATGGGGCCCTGGAGTAGGGAAGACCTGAGTTCCCAATTCAGCCTCAGACATTTGCTAGCCATGGAACCCTGGGCAAGTCACTTAACCTCTATCTGCCTCATTCTCCTCAACTGTAAAATGGTGATAATAATAGCACCAACCTCCCAGGGTGATAGTAAAGATCAAATAAAATAATATTTGTAAAAAGCATTCAGCACAGTGTCTGGCATATAGTAGGCATCATAAAAAATACTTATTCTGCTTCCACCTTTCCCAAGAGATGACAAGTAGTCCAGTTTGGCTACAGCATGGCAGATTGCAATAGGGAGCAGGGAAGACTTTGAACACCACTTGCTAATGTGTGGGGATTTTTTTATTTTATTTTTATGTTTTGTTTTTAAGTTACATACATTTCCAGATTACTCCCAATGTGTGAGAGGTCTCTTGTAAAAAAAAATTTTTAAAAAGGAAAACAGTTAAGAAAAACTAATAATATAGTGACCTCATCTGAAAGAAGTGTAACATTTCTCTTCTGTAGCATCTCCTCCCATCTCTCTCTTATAAAAAAATTAACAAATCTATTTTCTCTCCCTTGCACCTCCACTCCTTTGGGAAAAAAAAGAAAAATGAATTTTTGTAATAAATATGCAGTCAGGCAAAACAAATTCCCTCAATGGCTCTGTGTGTGTGTGTGTGTATATGTACCCATAAACATGCATGCATACATATATATACACACATAAACATGCATGCATACATACATACACACACACACACACACACACACACACACACACACACACACACACACACACACATATATATATATATACCAAAATATGTCTCATCCTGAACCCTCAATGCATCCCCTCTCTGTAATAGGTAGCATGTTTTCTCATCCGGTATCATGAGGGGTCATGATATTGCTTGTAATTTTACATCTATATGATTTGCCCTCCAAATAAGGTAATGGAAAAGGCAAAACGACAATTCATAGACTGGGCTGAATCACAGAATGTATTTTAGTTTTCACTCCTTTTATTTGGAAATCCATGCCCTGTGTCCCAGAAACCCTGACCTATAAAAGCTTAGATACAATAGGAGAATGATCTGAAAAAAACAGATGCACGTTGGAAATGATACTTAGATCTTATATCTATGGTTTCCCCCACTCCCAGCAAAAATCAGCAGGAACTTTCATGTGGCCTTTTTGCTCTGTGGTATTTTACAGTGTATCCGGAGGAGAGCTTTTTGATCGAATAGTAGAGAAAGGATTTTACACGGAAAAAGATGCCAGTACTCTAATCCGCCAGGTCTTGGATGCAGTCTACTATCTCCACAGGATGGGAATCGTACATAGGGACCTCAAGGTAAGGTCATCATTTCCTGGCATGTCCCTTCCATTCTACAGTACATTGTAAAATGAAATGGTTCTCAGTGGAGGGATGGGACTTTTTCAAGGTGGCAAACGACAGAATGAAAGCTATAAGCTTATAAGCTATAACCGCTTGCTGTTTCATGAGAAGTAATTCCCATTTCTCTTAATTGGCTCAGTGGTAAAATGTCACACCACTTATCTTGTAATTAACATATTCATATTGTATGTGAACACCATACTCTACATAGTTGTAGATTTTTAAGGCCAGTATAGTCAGTTAACTCACATTATTAAGCATCTACTATGTGCCAGGCAGAGGTAGCTAGGTGACCCAGTGGACAGAGCACTGGAGTCAGGAACACCTGAGTTCAAATTCGGCCTCAGACACATACTAGCTGTGTGACCATGGGCAAGTCACTTAACCACTGTTTGCCTTAATCCACTAGAGACGGAAATGGCAAACCACAACAGTATCATTGCCAAGAAAAACCCATGGACAACATTAGTGTTCTATGGTCCATGGAGTCACAAAGAGTCAGATATAACTAAACAACAACAATGCACCAGGCACCGTGTTAAGTACTGAGAATACAAAGAAAGGTAAAAGACAGTGCCTGCTCTCAAAGACCTTACATTCTAGTGGACTGAATATTAAATTTTTTATTTATTTATAATTTATTTATTCTAATGTATGGAGCTCCTGAAGAGGAAACTACTTCTTCAATCAGTGCAAGTCAGCACTGGTTCTGTAATTTATAGTCATAGAATTGCCTGGGGACCCTGGGAGGTTACATAATTGGCCCAGAGTGAAAGAGCTGGGATGTGTCAGAGGCAGGACATGAACCAGGTCTTACATTATGCCACACCATCTCTTATAAACATAAGATCATAGTATCATAGGTGTAGAGCTGGAAGGGACTTTGTAAGTTGAATCCAATAATCCCATTTTACAGATGCAAACAAGACCCAGGGACATTAATTTACCTAGGGTCAGATTTTATGTAGCCAACAAAATCAAATTTTAAGAGGTACACTGAGGTTGTGTCAAAGGCAGGAAATTGTGGCAGTCTTTAGTTTTTCAGGGCTCTGAGGGAATGTACGTTCTCCGTGTACATTATGTCTCTGTCTCTGCTGTCTCTCATTATCCTTCCATGACCCTTCCCTTATTGACTGTGGTAATACGCACTTTTGGTAACTTTTGGGAGCTGGGTTACAGCACTAGTTCTTGATAGATTTCTTAGGATTTCAGAAGGATTATCACACCTTCAAGGGCTTCTTAAATTCTTCACTGAGCTAAATAAGCCCATCCATTGCCTGTATACCTTGGAAGTATTTTCTCACCATCAGATTGTGTTTTCCAAATACAGCAGGCAGCTTTTAAGAGGCAACTTAGTAGCCATGTAGGAGGAGAGTGAGTGGGCTGATTATTGGTACTTATTTAAAATAATTCTAAGGAGAATAATAGGCCGTATCATGGTGGGTAACATTTATTTCCTCTTAGAAAGACAGAAACATTGGCTGTATGGGATATATATTGTATATCACTCCCACGTTGTCCTTATGGGGAAGTGTTTCCAATTTGGATTGGATTGAACAGAAGCTTTTAGACCATCAAACTCACAGCATGTGATTGCTGAAAGCAGAACACTGCCACTTTAGAGTCCCTTTGTAATCTCCCAAAAAGGGTTTTGGCCTCTGTGAAGTAGGATAAGATTGGATTATGAAATGTTCATAAACTTCTAAGAGAAATAAACTAATATACTTAACTTCCTGATCCCAAATTACAGAGATTATGATCATACAGAAGAGGTAGAGATGTATCTCTCCTCCCGCCTTTAAAAAAATCTCATTTTACATGGTTTTTGTATCCTAATAAGTTGTTAGGGAGTAGAAATCATCCCATTTTAAAATACACAGGGACAAGGAAAGCAAGTACTCCCATTTCCCCCGACAGATATCTTTGTGAACCCAGGTTAGGAAAATATTCAGAAAATTGAAATGACCAGTGATGTTTATTCATTCAAAAGCAAACCAAGCCTCCAGCCATTGAAAAAGATATCTTTGGGTCCTGGACATTCCATTTGAATGGGAGAGTAAGGAGTAGGGTAGTAGAGGGTTGTTGTTTTTTTTTTGAGTCCCTGATATTTTTTCTAGTGTAACATTTTCTCTTTCTCTCTGCCTCAAGTATGTGCACTTTACACAGGATTATTTAACTCTTCCTTAGAATATACTACCTAAAAAGCAGACTAATTTTTATCAACAAAAGCAGTGAATGGGAAGCACGTTGTGGAAGTTGGTAGGAAATCATGAAAGGAAAGAAAATCTAATTTAACCCAACAGAATGTTAGAAAGTTCAACCCAAAGTACAGATTTTACACGTTGTTCACTTTGAGATTAGTATAGATGAGTAGCATCGTTAATTATTTATTAAATGCATTTTTAATACTAACATCATCAATTAATAGCCTAACATGTACTGAATGTCTATTATGTGCCAATCGTTGTGCTAGATGCTGTTGATGCAAGTACAAAGAATGAAAAGATCCCTACTCATGAGAAGCTTGCATTCTAATGGGGAAAAATAAACTGGATTAGGCAAAAATGGTTGCATTTGCTATGCAGCTCAATTTTCCTACATACTTTGTCTTCCCCTATTAAAACATAAGCTCTTTGGGAACAATGACTGTCCTTTCTTAAATCTGCTTCCCCAGCACTGAACACAGTGCTTTGCACACAGTAAGCACTTAATGAATGCATTTTCTATCATTCCTTCTAAATCTTTGATAATCACTTAGACCTCCTAATAAATGTCACTTTCTCATCTCTCTCAGTGGCAGCTCAAAAGTAGAAAAGACACTTGGGGACAGAAAGACAAATAGAATCCTATGACAGATAATCAATTATGCTTCTTTCTCCTGATCATCATCATGGGCTCACCATTTAAAAAGCAAAGCTATAACTGGTTTTGTTGCCTGGTGATTCCTCTTTAGCTAGCATAGGAATTGAATGAACAGTTTCTCACCTATCTCACTGTACTATTTAAAATGAGTAATTCTAGGAAGTCTACAGGCCAATCCAAAGAAAGATGTTATCCATTTCATAATTTAATGGCCTTGTTTAACCTTAAATTGTTACGAGTGCGAGGTTACCATGTTTGGCCTCAAGTATCAGATGTTGTTTTCTCTCTGGTTTAACCCAGATGTATAAAATATTTATGTTTGTTTTTCTGCATCTTCACCCATGTTAGCCTGAAAACCTTTTGTACTACAGTCAGGACGAGGAGTCCAAAATCATGATCAGTGACTTTGGGTTGTCCAAAATGGAAGGCAAAGGAGATGTCATGTCTACAGCGTGTGGCACTCCAGGATATGTGGGTAAGTACACTCATAGGTAGTTGTTCTAGGAGTGTGTGTGTGCATTTGGTGACTTCGTGATTCCCTTAAAGCCAGCTTGTGACCAACTTGGTCTCATTTTCCTTGGGGACAGAATTAAAAGCCCATAGGTTTTGGGGTGTTGCCAGTAACTCCTTATTACCCCCAGGATCAAATATAAAATCCTTTGGCTTTTAACGCCCTTCTTAACCTATCCCCTTCCTACGTTTCTGATCTTCTTACACATTACTGTCCTCTTTATCCTCTATTATACAGCGATACTAGCTTCCTTCCTATTCCTTGAACAAAACATTGCATTTGGGGGCTGCTAGGTGGCACAGTGGATAGAGCTCCGGCCTTGGAGTCAGGAGGACCTGAGTTCAAATCCGACCTCAGACACTTGACACTAACCATGTGACCCTGGGCAAGTCACTTACCCCATTGCCTCACTCAAAACAAAACAAACAAAAAAAACATTGCATTTCCTAACTCTGGGTATTTCCGCTGGCTGTTCCCTATACTGGAAGACTCTCCTTCCTTATTTTTGACTCCTAGGTTCCTGGTTTACTTCAGGTCCCAGCTAACATTCCACTTTCTGCAAGAAGCCTTTCTTGATCCCCCTTAATGCTACTGCCTTCCCTGTGAGATTATCTCCAATTTATCCTGTTATACATCTCATTCGTAGAGTTGTTTGCATGTTGTCTTCTCCTCTAGACTACAAACTCCTTGAAGGCAGGGGCTGCTTTTTGCCTTTCTTTATATCCCCAGCATTTAACCTCTCTCATTCCCAATAATTGAACACAGCCCTTAAATTATAAGCACACAGCAGACATTGACTTGACGCCAGTTTGCATTTGCTGTCCAGTTGTTGCAAGGGGTGACTTGGTACAGCAGAGACTACAACATACAAAGAGGCAGGAGACTTGATTTCTCAGCTCACCTCTTTCCTTAGCTGGCCATGTGACCTTGAACACCTCATTTCCCTTCTTCATGCCTTGGTTTCTTCATCTGAAAAATGAGAGGGTTGAATCAAATGATCTCTAAGGTCTGTGCCTATTCTAATATTTTGCAATCAAGTCAGATAATATATGTAGTTATTGGTGTTCAGTCGTTTCAGACTCTTTGTGACCCCATTTGGGATTTTCTTGGGAAAGATACTGGAGTGGTTTGCCATTTCTTTCTCCAGCTCATTTTACAGATGAGGAAACTGAGGCAGACAAGATTAAGTGACTTGCCTTGGGTCACACAGCTAGTAATTGTCTGAGGTGAAATTTGAACTCAGCTCCTCCTGACTTCAGGCCCTGCACTCTATCCACTGTATCACCTCCCTGCCCCTTTAACATAAGGGCATGGACTTAATGTCCTCTAAGGTCACTTTTATCTCTGAATCTATGATCCTATGAAGATTTCCAAAGTGCTTTACATATATTACCTGGAGGCCATTCATCCAAGGCCCTCATGTTTCAGATGAGACCTCGCAAGGTAAAATGACTTTGCCCATGGTCACAAGTGGCGGAGCTGGGATTTGAACCTAAAGCCTCTGGACTTATAGCACTATATATATATTTTATTGATGATGATGATTCCAGTTGAATAGAGTTTAGAGCCGAGAGACACCTTAAAGATCATCTAGTTCAACCTCTTTGTTTTACAACCAAGGAAATTGAGGCCTGGAGAGATTCAGTGACTTGTAAGTAGCAGACCTGAGATTCACACTAAGATTTCAGATCCCAAATCCAATGCTCTCCCCACTCTACACCAATTCTTCAAGTCCTTATATAATAAAGTCTGGGGCTATGTCAGACACCCAATCACTTTGTTTTCAATGTTTCCCTTGGGGCGTTTCATATGTCATATCCAATCATTTTTTTTAATGTTGCTGCAACTTAATGGATAAAAGACAAGAAGGAAAAGGAAATGGAGTAACAAAAAGGGAAAGAATGAACAGAGGGAAAAGATTAAAAGGCAGGGGGATAGGAATGGCAAAACTAAGATGACACCATTTGCCTATGTCTGAACCTCCAGTCCACTGCATAGCCAATTACTCTCCCTTTTTTCTCTAAATTCGATGTGTTGGTGGGGAGTAACCCTAGTGATTGTTTTATAAAGGTTATTGCTTGCTGTTCATCTGTAAGCCAAGAAATAGCATCTATTCATTTTGTTTCTTGGCATATTTGTATTTGGAACAATAAGATAGTGGAAAAGAGCCAAGCCATATCATGAGGGTTTTGGGTTGTGTGTGTATGTGTATATATGCATATGTGGGGGACAGGGAAGGACAGAGACAGATCTGTACAAACCAGTGGGCAAGAAGAAAATAAAGTGAATGTTATCTAATCCCACGGTCCCCTAAAAGGAGTGAGGAGAAGTGTCTGTTCCACCCACACTGAATCACAGCAATTAGAAAATGAAAACCCTATTAAGTCATGTTGTTCAATCACTCTGCCAGTACAGGGTTTCTTTCTTTCTTTTTTAATTTAACCTTCCTTTATTGATTATTGCAAAGTCTTTGGCACAAATCCATACTCATGTTTTAGTCATTTACTGCAAATATGTAAAACAGACCTAAGTAGATTGAAAATACTAGAGGGTCTGATGTCCACATGGAAAAGAAAAACTGCTCTCTATTTAATAATGCAAGCAACGAAATAATTTCAAGAACAATTGGCAGAAAATGTTTTTAGGATTTCTTTTTTCAATGAAGCTGTAATACATGATAAGCAGACCATGAATCTGCTATCCAGTGCTGTGCATCCCTCCAATTTTCACCTTTAACTATGTCTTAAAATATAATCAAATAGTCCTGACAAAGAATATCTATGATTATATGCTGCACCATTTTAAGTTTTGATGTTTGAGGATATTATTTTCAAAGTAAATTTTGGCTAAAGGGGCTATGAGCCTGAATGTGAACTCTTCTGGGTTTCTAAATAACTGCTGACCAAACTATGTGGTTGCCTTACTGTTCTGTTCACTCTCTGGTTCCGCTGAAGTACAAGGAGCCGCATCTGGATTCTGCTCCCATTCTCAGTGCCCTAGACACAGTAGAGGAAACTGGCATGCTGGAATTGTTTTTCTTAGGGAGGCAAAGGGAGGACAGAGAGAAACATGGATGTTCTATGTAATAAATCCTTCTGATTTACATTTACTGAGCATTCACAATGTACACAGATTTCTGTGGTGATGTAAGATCATAGACAAGTGGTGCCTGCCTTCTAGGACCTCCCATTCCTATGCCATTAAGCCATACAACAAAGAGGTAGAACACTTCTCAATGAAAATCTCCCTCTGCTAAGGGGGAAAGCACATCTTCAAAATAATGAAGCAACACTTACAAGGATGCCCTTATTCCTATTAAGTCAGACTTCCCCAGGCCACGCATACACACAATTTACCTTCAGTGCCTTCGCTGCCATGTGGATATGTAGCAGGACAAGTCAGAAGCAGAGGAAGTTCCTTAGGTGGCTAGACTGTCCAGAAGTCACAGTGATATTTGGATTGAGCTGTGCAGTTCTGCTGGAACAGCCTAATCCCAACCTGGAATCAAGGAGGAGTTACATGAAGATGAAAGAAGCATTTACCCCCTTTATGATTTGGGGGGGAAGGTTTACTCTCCCATGCTTCAGAACCCAAAGAAGAGAATTAAGGTAAACTTTTACTTACTACTACTACTAATAGCTAACATTTATACAGTGCTTACTATGTGCCAGGAGGGAAGCTAGGTGGCACAGCAGATAGAGGGCCAAGACTCATCTTCCTGAATTCAAATCTGGACTCAGATACTTACTGGCTGTATGACCCTGGGCAAGTCACTTAACTCTGCTTGCCTCTGTTTCCTAATCTATAAAATGAGCTGGAGAAAGAAATGGTAAACCACTCCATTATCTTTGCCAAGAAAATCCCAAATGGGGTCACAAAAAGGTGGACATGACTAAAAATCAACTGAACAACAACAACAATGTGCCAGGCACTGTGCTAAGTGTTTTACAGTTATCTTACTTGATCTTCACAACAACCCTGGGAAGCAGGTGCCATTTTATCCTCATTGGTAATGAATATAAGAAAAGACAGCAACACTGATTATAATGATTGCATGTAGAAATTTGATTAATATAAATCAATTGCCATAACAAGAAGACCAAAAGAACCTAAAGAGTGCCCTAGTCAACAAACACTTGACTTATTTAACCAAGCAGAGAGAGATGGTGGTAAAAGGGCATGTGGATTTAGAATATAAACTCATTTATAAAATTGTACAGAGAAGGATGATGGTAGCTTATGAGCACTATTACATCATAAAGAAGAGAAGCAATGGACAGCAAAACTAATTTAAAGAAACCTTAATTAGAAGCCTAAATAAGCAGTCATCCCCACGATTAAAAGAGAAAGAGGACAACAAACAGAAGAAATGTGGAAAAGATCTGCAAAAATCGTTATAACAAGTCATTTTTACAAACAAGGCCAGTTGAGCCACTGCTCTTGGAGTGTGATATCACAATCCCTAACGTGCTTAGAGAGGACACAGAAATGACACTAAAAAAAAAAAAAAGTAAAAGCAACCAGATTAGAGCATGTGTCCATAGAAGAGGTTTATGCTGAAGGTAACAACTTTTAGAAGATAAAAGGATCAATCCACAAGGCATATAAAGGATGAGAAGCTACCAAAGGCATGAAAAAAATCTTAGATTTCATTAATATAAAAACTGACCAAGAAAACTACTAACCTATATGCCTTCTTTCTCATTTTTATAAAGTTTTGTGAGAATATTCTACAAATGCATTGAAGTGATTCTTGATGAGTATATTAGAATAACATTTATGAAATTTGACTGTTTCTGCTATGTCAGACTATATCTTTATCATTGCACAATTGACTACAAGATGCCACTATATTTATTTTTTGTTGATTTTAAGTACTTTATTCAGGAGAGTAAAGCATTGTTTTAAAGACCCTCGTCAAACAAGGTGTCTTCTATCCATACATCAAAATCATTCATGATTCC